AGAGACACACATGTGAGATATATATTTTCGCAAATATATATATATATATATATATATATATATATATATATATATAAAGAAATCACACATATTATATCTCACATATTGTGAGATATAAAAATCACAATTATGAGAAAAAGTTACAATTTGAGAAACATGTACATACAATCACAGTTAAGAGAAATAAATTTGCCATTGTGAGATATTAAAAACAATTATGAGAAATAAAACTGCATTTATGAAATCAAGTCCAAATTGAAGAAAAAAAAGTTGAAAGTCACAATTTTGAGATATTGGGCCCTATCATACACACGGCGCAATGCGGCGCCAGGCGCGACGCAAGTGTTTTTTTTGCTAGTTTCAACCCGACGCAGTTGTCATTTTCATGTCCTGAGCCACGTTGCTTAAATAGCAAATGCATTTGTGCGCGCTGGTCTGAAAACAAGGTGTGTTCAGGCGCATTGCTATTTTGAGGCAACTGAAAAAGACTACGCCATTGACCAACAAAAACCTGGTCTAAAGTCTGGCGCAATATTGATTTTTTTTTGTTATTTAAAGAGCGCGTTAGTAATATGCACCTATAGGTGGATGCACAACGCACGTACACTTTTCTTATTGCACACACAAGCATGCGCAGCAGCACACAAACATTTTTAAAAATGAAAAATTAAAGGATTAAAATATAAAAAATTATTGACAATTTTGAGATATTGGGCCCTATCATACACACGGCGCAATGCGGCGCCAGGCGCGACGCAAGTGTTTTTTTTGCTAGTTTCAACCCGACGCAGTTGTCATTTTCATGTCCTGAGCCACGTTGCTTAAATAGCAAATGCATTTGTGCCCATTTGTGCGCGCTGGTCTGAAAACAAGGTGTGTTCAGGCGCATTGCTATTTTGAGGCAACTGAAAAAGACTACGCCATTGACCAACAAAAACCTGGTCTAAAGTCTGGCGCAATATTGATTTTTTTTTGTTATTTAAAGAGCGCGTTAGTAATATGCACCTATAGGTGGATGCACAACGCACGTACACTTTTCTTATTGCACACACAAGCATGCGCAGCAGCACACAAACATTTTTAAAAATTAAAAATTAAAGGATTAAAATATAAAAAATTATTGTTTACATATAAAAATGCCTACATGTCATAATGGATAATCTTTGCGTGTATCAGAATTACACGCACGAGCAGATCCGTTACGTACACTTTTCTTATTGCACACACAAGCATGCGCAGCAGCACACAAACATTTTTAAAAATGAAAAATTAAAGGATTAAAATATAAAAAATTATTGTTTACATATAAAAATGCCTACATGTCATAATGGATAATCTTTGCGTGTATCAGAATTACACGCACGAGCAGATCCGTTCCCTCACTAGAGAAGCGTTCAGTTTTTCCGCTTGCAAATTCCGCAATGTAAATAGCGAATCCGCCATGGCGCGAGCGCAACTGGCTTTTAAAGGGAATGGGAGATGAGACTCAGATTGGTTTATGGCACGTTACGCCCAAACACACCCATTACTCATTAAGAGAATAGGGACACCCTTTTAGACCATTTTTCCTGTCCTTAAACTAGCAAAAGTGGATTCGGACACGCCCTAAGCACAATTGCGATGTGCGCTTTAGATCATGCGCTTAGATCGGTAAAATAGGGCCCATAACGTTGCAATTAAGAGAAATAAAGTCATATAGTGAGGTGTAAATTCACAATTATTAGAAAAGTTGCAATTGTGAGTTACATATGAGTCACAATTCGAGACTTCTGACACACTTTGAGAAAAAGTTACATTATGAAAAATAGTGTCACAATTATCTTTTTTTTTTTTTTTTTTTTACTCTGAGGCAGAAAGAGGCTTCCATATGTTTGCAATCATTTAATGCAAGCACTAAAAGGGAAACAAATTCATATAGGAATAAACATTTTCTGTAATATACGAAGACAAAAAAACACATCCACTACAAGTCCATTTTGAAATCCATAGGTAGGTATTTGCATCAACTTGCCATAAACCTCTCAAATGCAAACACAGACACATACGCTCTCCACATATGCGAGCAGCTGAGATATTCTGAGCTCTAGATGTGAGCTCGGTCTGCAAGAATGCCAACAGAACCGGTCAGGGAAATGTGAAGTGCAGCTTCAGTCATAAGTTGCGTGATGGTAACTGTTATTAGTTGACAGGACCAATATTTCCACACACACAAAGCAAGGGCAGAGCGATCCAAAATGACACCATAGAGAATATGACCACTGCGCTAGCGTGGAGCAGGGACTATCGGGATTGGACGGTAAACAGCGTGGATGTCCAATGTGTCTGCCACACTGGCGATTCAAGGTCACGTGATCTCAGCGAAGGTGATGTGATTCTGTTGACAGAGTGAGACAGAAAAAAACAATGTCAAACTTAAGCACATCAAACACATTAAATCTGCCTGGAAGTGTAAAAACTTTTAGACGCAAACTGTTTCCATACAGGGTTTGAGGAGAAACACATTTACACTTCACACAAGTGTGATTACTAGCAGCAGCTGTTTAGCACTGTACCTAAATTCACTGCCAAATGTTTTTCCATTAAGAACATTCTTTTTTTATTTTTAATTAACCTCTTGAAATTGTTACATTAATGCTTACAACATGAAAAAATATTTGCCAATGGGGTAAGAAAAATAAACTAAAATAAACTATTTAATTTTTATGTATCTTAATAAATATTATAAATATATTTAATAATTTCTTAATACTTTAAATACATTTATTAAAATTAGATATATTCACTAAAACAAGTATTAATATCTTCTGAGATGCAATTTCACTTAAGTAAATCTTAAGGATGTTTATATATTTTAACTAGAAAAAAGACAAAAATATATATATAAAAAAAAAAGACTTCGTTACTTTTTTTTTTTTTTGCATTTACACTACTGTTTTTAATGTTTTCGAAAGTAGTATCTTCTGCTCACCAAGGCTGCATTTTTTTTTTAGCAAAAACACAGTAAAAACCATAATATTGTGAAATTTTATTATAACTGTTTTCTATTTTAGTATATTAGTGTAATTACTGTAATGCAAAGCTGATTTTTCAGCATCATTACATCTTCAGTGTCACATGATCCTTCAGAAATCATTCAGATATGCTGATTTGCTGCTCAAGAAACAATTATAATTGTTAAAAACAGTGCTGCTTTTTTTTAGGATTATTTAAAGGGGTCATATGATGCGATTTCAAGTTTTCCTTTCTCTTTGGAGTGTTACAAGCTGATTGTGCATAGATAAGATCCCTGAAGTTGCAAAGACTAAAGTCTCAAAGCCAAAGAGATATTCTTTATCAAAGTTAAGACTTTGCCACACCCCCAGAAAGTTTTAAATAACTTTTTTTAAAATAGAAATCTTTTGTAACATCATACATTTACTGTCACTTTTGATCAATTTAATGCATCCTTGTTGAATAATAGCATTAATTTCTTTAAAAAAAATAATTAAACTTTTTACTCAAATTGTTATTTCTGTATACATTTTTTTATTATTAAAATTGTTGTATTAAATTATAAAAATACAAGCCTTTCACTGAGTCTCAGAATTTAGGACTCCACATGATCACTTTAGAAATGCAATGAAATGTGTGCGTGTTTGTATGCATATATATATATATATATATATACACACAGTGGTGTGAAAAAGTGTTGGCCCCCTTCCTGATTTATTATTTTTTTGCATGTTTGCTACACTTTAATGTTTCAGATCATCAAATACATTTAAATAGTAATCAAAGATAACACAAGTAAACACAACATGCAGTCAGAAGACAGGACGTTTCTATCAGATATGATAGGCCGTGTGACTCTGGTGGTCAAAACTTTATGATGAAACGCAATGTTCTGTTTCTTACATGTCACGCAGATATACATACAAATAGGCATTGAAAGGAATTCTGCTGGAGTTGTAGCTGAATTTAAAGTGATTTAATGATAGCTAAAAGTAAATGGCGGTGAAACTACACGCTGCATTAGAAAATTCATAAATAATACAGCTGGAAATGGGGTGAGTTCATCAGAGATTCAGCAAACATGAACAATTACAGAAAAGCGCTCCGCAGGTCATATCGCTGATAACCTCAGCAGAGAATACGGGGCGGATTTTGCCAAATAAATTATTTCTTGCTTCCAGTCACATTCACCATGATCCGGCAGTCTCTGTGATTTGAAGAGACAAAACAGAGATGTGGATTTTCCTCGCTTTGTCCTCCCACTTTCAACGGCATTATGGTTTCTGACAGCAATCTGTCTGGGGGATATTTCAGCAGAAAGCAAAGTGAAATCGTCTGTTTTCTGTCCCAGAAACGTCACGGGACATTATTGCACCCAAACTTCATCTACAAGGACAGAGGGATATCACAAATAAATATCTTGAATCGGCACCCTTGACTAAAGAAGATTAGCATTTTTATTGGTGGAAAGAGCCCTCAATATCCTACACATTTAATTTGCTGCATTTCAATAAACCATCTGTGAACTGACATTGTTCCCAAATGGTTTTATTGCATCTGAATAAGCAAACAAGAGCAACATTTAATCCCTCCTATACTGCAGAGAGACAATCAACACCGCAATCTGGGATTAAATATTTCTCTCGTTTGCTTACTTGCAAGATTGTGAAATGAATGCATAAATAACTGTGTTTAAAGGGTCACAATTGCAGCTTAATTACAGTCTGATGGGGCTCAGCGGTGGCCTGTGGCTTAATTAAAAGCTGAACACGAGGTCTGACTCTCTGCCATGGAGGATGACGGCTGTTTGGGAGCGCCTCAGGAACAGAGGATTTTCAAACGTGTTTCAAGTCTCTGAGGGCTTAGTAGTGCATTTCCACTTCTATTCGAGGTGCGGAATTGCTGACGGTTTTTAGGTCACCCAACTCAAACACCAACACCAGGTTTCAGTAGAGGTTTTAAATGGATTCTGAAGCACCGGCTATGAAAGAAAACAGACTGGGAAGCAACTGTGCATGCAAGGAATTCTTATTAGATCACAAAGTTTCGAATGATGTGACTCTCAGGTACATTACAAAAAAAACAACAACCCTGAAGTCTCCTATCACAGTGTACCAACAAAAACTAACTAAATAAAAGGCCCTCATCCTGTATCAGAATCAAATGTTTTGTAAAATGATCTTTTTCAGCCAATCAATCAGCTAATTTCAATGTGTATTTCATTCATTTTTGAAACTAACATACTAGCTTATGGGTGTTCAACCAACACCTCACAGGGTGAAAAAATGCTTACATTTATTCTGTGATACATCATACAACCATGGTTGTTATATTTAACTAAAACCATAAAAAATTGTTACTTGAAATATTTTAATTAAACTTTGAATATAAAAAACTTATTTCAGATAGTTAACATTAAGTAAATTACATCTATATAGACATATTTAAAAAAAACTGATCAAAATGAAAAAACAAAAAGTTTAATTTAAAATAAGGTGAAAACAGAAAACATTAAAACAAAAACTAATCCAAAATATAAATAAAAACTGTATATACTATATATAATATAGTATATAATATACGGTGTATACTGTATATAACTGGGATACATAAAAAAATGACAGTAGATCATAAATAAATAGTAAGCCAAGTGCAAATTATGAGGGGATGGTATAGGATCTTAAAAATAAAAAAGTACTAGAACTATGATTATTAATATTAATTAATATAATTGTTGAATATTTACTAAATATTACAATCATTATATTACAATAATAAATGATAAATAAATTATATTACAATAAAAAAATTACACCTACACAATACAAAATTTTTACTGGAAGGTCAACCAATTGCACCCTGAAAATGATTGAAAATATCTTTAAAAATACAGCTTCCTGAAAGTCATCAGATAATCTGCAAATTAGCTTTAAGTCCAGAAGAAGATGAGATGCAACCATGAAGATTGAACTGCAAAGGACATGCAGACGGAGATGCCAAAGCTCTGGGTATGCTTTAATTAGGTACAGGTAATTGGTTTGTTCAGTTGAAATGAACATGATTGGGTTTTAATGACGTGTCGTTGTACTCCAGAGCTTTGGCAGCCTGAGCTCCTCACACAGGTGCGCATACGTTTATTGCCTTGTGTTCTGCAGGTGTCTGAAGCGGCTGCTTTTGCCTGTGATCCAGCTAAAGAAACTCAGGAGACGGCCTTTCAGAGAGCGGGACGACAACTCCTCATCATCCATTCTCAGTTCTGTCACCTGAGGGACAGGAGCGCACGGATACACATCTTGTTGATACAAGAGCTCAAACTGACACAATTAGGACCCTTGAGAGCTGATTCAACACTCTGCACACAGGGCATGTACCATGTGGCAGTTCATTTGACAGCATGGTCACACAGATATCAAGTGTGCTTCTGTCGACTGTGCTCTGTACCTGTGAAGCGATGTACTTCTCCAGCGGACTCTCAACCCTAGGCGAGCTGACCATTGGATTGCTGCTTAGGTGGTCCTGGGGGGGATCCTCGTTCAACAGTTGTTTGCCTTTGAAGTTATGGACCACACACACCACCTGAAAACATGAAAAATATAACATTATTTAAAGGGATAGATCACCCAAAATGTTGGTAACCAAACAGTTGCTGGTAGCCACTGACTTCCATAGTATTTGTTTTCCATACTGTGGAAGTCAGTGGCTACCAGCAACTGTTTGGTCACCAACATTCTTCAAAATATCTTCTTTAGATATCTTTCTTCAGAAGAAACAAAACTCATACAGGTTTGGAACAACCTGAGGGTGAGTGAATGGTGACAATTTTCATTTTTGGGAACTATAGAACTATACAGAGTCAACACAATACAGCTGCACTGTCAATGGAGCAGATAATATTAAATCACACAAACTTAATACAAAGCTACTGTGTAGCGCACAGTCAGGGACAATCGTGCGTCACAGTGGGGAGAGAGAAGAGTGAAATAACAGTAATTTTGTTAGCAGCCATGTGAGAGTCTTTGACCCATAAAGTGGAACACAGCTACTATGCTTAGCTGTTCCCACTCAGATTAGATAGAATGATAGATAGAAAGATAGACAGAATGATAAAATGATAGATAGACAGACAGACAGACAGACAGATATATAGACAGATAGAAAGAATCCAAACACAAAAGAGCTTTAAAATTAAGCTTTACATAAACCCTCATTACTGTGTTTTGCTTGCACAGCTTGCTGTACATAATTCTCCATTCCAAATGTGTATTTGTATGTTGCTGAACGTCCGCCTTTTCTGACTTCTGTGCAAAATATTTTGATGATATTAATGAAAAGCTCCAACACAGCAGCCAATGGCCAAAGTAGGTCACATATTCTGTTGGTAGTTTATATTCAGCCGTCATATATGCAGCTTCTGGATCTCCAGCTGAACAGAGCATGTTTGAATCACTAACCCAACGTGGTGTAAATGAGGCCGATATCTTATAGAGCGGACTCCTTGCGCGATGAGAAAGCTTAGCACATGCAATTTCAATAATTGGAGCGTGTCAGCTAATCACATGGGTTTTTTGTGTGCGTCCCCCACCAAAATGGCAGCGAAACACTTTCATAAATCACAATCCTAGGTGCCGGAGAGGATTCGTAATGGCCTGGCAGCAGGGCTAAACACTTGTCTGACCCTCAAGACCAGAGGTGGATACGCTAGCAATATGAACAATGGAACAAAAAACATGACTGCAATTTTACATTTGCTCAAAAAAATCTGGATATATGGATGATGGAACTATAGAACAATAGACAGATAGATCAGATGATAGAATGACAGAACGATAGACAGAACAATAGACAGAACGACAGACAGATCAGATGACAGAATGACAGAACGACAGATAGATAGATATAGAGAACTTTCCACAGAAAGTTCTGCAGAAGGAAGAACTCACAGCTTTCTAAATGCAGCTCCGCTCAACTCTCTCCAATATTCCTCCAACACAAGAACTGCGCTGCCACACTGTTTGTTCAGCACCAACACTGCCTACTCTCAGACAAATTAATAGCTGAAGTCAATCAAATAATCATTAAAGAGCTCAGTCTGACCACTCAGGAATACTTTTCTTTATCTTGACAGTGACTGGAATGAAGTTAGACAGGAGTTATGAAATGTTTTTAAACTATTTAATTCACTCTCTGATCGTTAATGAAATCACAAGGGGGAAATCTCTCGACAAAGAGTCTTTTGTCACAAAATCTTCAACTGAAATGACACCAAAAATTTGCCACTAGGATATCACAGCTCTCTAAAAATGTCCTTTGTGACTGTGTGGTATGACGGACAAGAAATAGTCTTCGGGGCACCATAGCTTGTGGGCGTCTCTGTCCCAGTGAGGCCTACATCAGAACAATCTTTTTATCTGTTCTACTGGGACTATTATCTTTCATCCTAAAATCTGGCCTTATCTGCACACTGAGCTGGAGACACATCTGAATTCTTAAACATTAAGTACACGCAGTGGACTCTCTCATTAGCGGTGCTTTCTAAGGCAAACATCACTATTACTATTTCTCATACTCCGCTCATACTCAAATTCCTAGCTCTAAGTATAGCAAGACTAGAAAACATCTCGCAAAAGCTGAGAAGGAACTCATTCTAAGCATCGAATTTGTGTGCACTAATGGTTCAAAAGTTCCATTAATTTTTTATTTAAAAAAAATTAAATACATTTTATGTATTAAATAAATCTATTAATATTTATTATTATAAATTAAATAATTTATCACTGAAAACAAGTCTAATATCTTTTAAGAAGCAATTTCACTTAGGTGAATCTTAATGATGTTTACTGAAAAATAAGATTAAAATATTAAAGAAAAAAGTGTTACTTTTAAAAAAAATTGCATTACCTTTCAAAGGTTTGCAGAGAATTACATTTTTATATTTTTGAAAGAAGACTCTTATGTTCACCAAAGCTGCATTTATTTGAACAAAGTAAAACACAGTAACATTGTGAAGTTTTCTATTTTAATATATTTAAAAATGTTATTTATTTCTCTGATGGCAAAGCTAAATTTTCAGCATCATTCCTCCAGTCTTCAGTGACACACGATTCTTCAGAAATCATTCTAAAATGCTGATTTACTGATCAAGAAACATTTCTCCTGCATGTGCCAAGAACCAGTCTTTCCAGAGGTTTCTGCATGCTCAGGATGGTGGAGAGAGCTTGGGATTTGGAGCATTACATGCTGAATTTACCACATGGGAGATTGAATTTCATGGATTTGCTTTCAATGCTACCTTTTAATCTTAAAATGTGGCATTCTTTCTAAACCTTGGCGTATAGATTCAACCATCAACTTGGTTGATTCTACAAGCTTAAGTCCAGAAAGTCCCTACAGAAACAAAATGTATACCTGCAGTTCAGCAAAGCAAGAGTCATTGTGTCTCCATAAATGCATTAGTTTCTGCTCTCATCTCCTGTGCCCTGAGAGGAAACCTGCATCATGATGTGTCCAGATGTGGGTGGTGGGATGAGGGTGAATCCATCTTCCTGCATTTGGCAGCTCTTCTACGCAACACAATTGGCTTTAAGGGAATAAGAGGCCTGGAGCAGAGGGTCTGTAACAGGGCTGGATGTTGGCATGAGCTTAGCTGGTCCTCTTGAATGTCAGTATATGAGCAGTTCTTCTACTTAGCTTCCCACCAGCCAACACGATCCTTTCTCTATCCTGTTATCCTTGCTAGATGAGCTATATGTAATTTGCTCTGGACTTCGGCCATTTAACTCCACGTTTGTCACTAGTGTTAGTTTACCAAAAAAATGTCATCATTTACTCACCCTCATAGTTTGCTTGTTAAAAAACCACTGTACAGCATCACGGGACTTACATGAGAAGGATTCTTATACATTTTTACCAATGAGTTTCTATGGCTTTTCTATTCGTTTATGATTACATTTTTTTTAAAGAGACCGTACTCATAAAAAAGCTTTTTCTATCATATTAAATGTTTTCCAATTTTTATGACATATTAGCTATTAGCTATCAGTGTTGCTAAAAAACTACTAAAAACATTTTAAAAGGATAGTTCACCCAAAAAATTTAAATTAGTCCATTATTTACTCACCCTCAAGCCATCCTAGGTGTATATGACTTCCTTCTTTAAGATGATTCCAATCAGAGTTATATTAAAAATTGACTTTGATCTTCCAAGCTGTTTAATGGCAGTCAGCGGGTGTTGCAGTTCATCAGTCCAAAAGAAGTGAAATAAAGCGCTCCCATCCATAATAAAAAGTGCCCATACATGGCTTCGGGGGGTGAACAAAGGCCTCCTGTAGTGAATCGATGCGTTTTTGTAAGAAAAATATCCATATTCAAAACGTAATAATCAGTTTAATCTTGCTTGCGCTCACTGTTGTAAACGGAAGCAGCTCCAGGAGGATGACGTAAGATGTCGGCGCTGCGCATGCGCCGGTGAGTCTCGTGAAAACCAACGTTTGTTTACAGGAGCAAAGGAAGCAAAGTTTCCTTACTTAAGCAAAGGAAAACCAGTCTCCTCTTGGCTAATATTGAAATCCTCCAACATTCTTCTTCACAAATCCTAATTTTGCACTTCTAATTGGTGACCGTTTTTTTGATCTCACCCCTGCGCTTCCGCATTCGTCACTTCTGAGCGGCACATGCGCAACGCCGACATCCATACGTCATCCGCCCGGAGCTGCTTCCGTTTACAACAGTGAGCGCAAGCAAGATTAAACTGATTATTACGTTTTAAATATGGTTATTTATTTATTTTTTTACAAAAAACGCATCGATTCGCTACAGGAGGCCTTTGTTCCTTTTTATTATGGATGGATGTGCTTTATTTAACTTCTTTTGGACTGATGCACTGCAACACCCACTGACTGCCATTAAACATTTTGGAAAATCAAAGACAATTTTTAATATAACTCTGACTGGATTCGTATGAAAGAAGAAAGTCATATACACCTAGGATGCCTTGAGGGCGAGTAATTCATGGGCTAATTTTCATTTTTGGGTGAACTAACCCTTTAAATTAATTAAAAAATGTAATTAAATTAAATTGAAATAATGTGGAAAAAAAATTAAAAAAATATTTTATGAAAAACATTAGAAATATAGCCTTGGCAAATAATTGAAATACATAATTGTAGGTTGAAATGCTAAAATTACAAACTAAGACGGAAATAAAAATAAATTAAAGCTAAACAGAAATATTTAAACCGGGGGAAAAAGGACATAAAACTGAAAATATAAAAATATAAAAATGAAACCTAATTCAAAATAAGAATACATCATGTAATATATAAATGCTAATAACACTGCTGTATAGGCCTGATCATTACTATTCAAGATCATTGTTCAGTGTACACTACAATTCAATCAGATATAGTCACGCAAATAAGGGTATTTTAAGTTAAACTGAAATGTTAATTTTAATACCTACGTATATACTACATATATATATATATATATATAAAAAAAAGTGTATAAATGTCACTTTTTTTCATTTTCTTGACTTTTGCAGACCTGTACATTAAAATGAAATTAACATTCCCTGATATTTCCAGCTTTTCCATGAAACCCTAAATACTGTATAGTGCACAAATGGACCACTTTTATGATGCATTTGGCTTTTTCCCCCTTTTTTTTTTTACTTTGAACACTGTCCCAATTCACTCACTTTGTATGGAAAAGATCGGCCAGGATATTCTGCAAAACACCTTTTTTTGTGTGTTTCACAGAAGAAAGAAAATCATGTTTAGAATGACATGAGAGTGAGTAAACGATGATAGAACTATAATTTTTGGCTAAATTGTTACATTATATGTTTGTAAGAAGTCCAACAGAAATATACAACATGAAACTGATGAAAAACTTACTAGAAAGGTGGCGATGGCCACACCGATGATAAAGCCGGCAATGACGTCAGACCAGTGATTACGATACTCCGCCACCCTGTTAATTCCCGTTAGAAAAGCCAAGCACATCAGGCCCAAAGACATGACTGGTTTAGCCAGACGAGTTCCTTTGGCTTTCACTGTAAATGTGATGTACATCTGAAATCAGAGAGAAAGTAAGTAACAAATAATATTAAAATAATGATTTTGATTTGCAATCATTTGAGGTTCCTCTCACACAACTCAAACTGGTTTATGTACTCTTTTCTCTCAATTTGTGGGTATTTACTGTACACTTGGTCACTTTATGTGTTTTTTACTGGATGGATAGATATCTAAAATTTATAGTAATTGCCTTGTATTTAAAGTATTGGCCATATATGTCTGGACAGTTTTGTTCAGTTTTGAAACCGGACCACTTTTATGATGCATTTGGCTTTTTCCCCCTTTTTTTTTTTAACTTTTAACACTGTCCCAATTCACTCACTTTGTATGGAAAAGATCGGCCAGGATATTCTGCAAAACACCTTTTTTTGTGTGTTTCACAGAAGAAAGAAAATCATGTCTAGAATGACATGAGAGTGAGTAAACGATGATAGAACTATAATTTTTGGCTAAATTGTTACATTATATGTTTGTAAGAAGTCCAACAGAAATATACAACATGAAACTGATGAAAAACTTACTAGAAAGGTGGCGATGGCCACACCGATGATAAAGCCGGCAATGACGTCAGACCAGTGATTACGATACTCCGCCACCCTGTTAATTCCCGTTAGAAAAGCCAAGCACATCAGGCCCAAAGACATGACTGGTTTAGCCAGACGAGTTCCTTTGGCTTTCACTGTAAATGTGATGTACATCTGAAATCAGAGAGAAAGTAAGTAACAAATAATATTAAAATAATGATTTTGATTTGCAATCATTTGAGGTTCCTCTCACACAACTCAAACTGGTTTATGTACTCTTTTCTCTCAATTTGTGGGTATTTACTGTACACTTGGTCACTTTATGTGTTTTTTACTGGATGGATAGATATCTAAAATTTATAGTAATTGCCTTGTATTTAAAGTATTGGCCATATATGTCTGGACAGTTTTGTTCAGTTTTGAAACCATCAGTATCTTGGTGTTTAATGTCACTTTACTCTGGAAAGCTGCATGAAGACTAGGCATAAAAGAGTTTAGTGGGTTGTTAGGTAGGGCAGAAGGGGAGAAATAGAATAAATGTGTGATCTGTATGATTTTGTAAATGCATTAGCTTTAAATTGAAAATTAGCCAACAATTTGAAAAGTTAAAACGGCATCCGTTGATGAATTTATTAAAGACCCTTCAGAAGACGCGTTAGATTTGTTTGTAAAGCAACAATTGTGGGAGCTTGTAGAGCATTTTAAAATTAGTGATGTGGACAAACGAGTAAAAAAAAAAAAGCGAACTTCGTTCTATTGAGAAATTAAAAACAGAACGTTCACTCAAACAGCGAGAATTTGAATTGGACCAGAAAAGGTTAGATGCTGAAAAATCAGCGCGGGACTTTGATTTACAGGTGGAGCGTTTAAAATTGGTAAAGGAAGGAAAACTATTCCCAGAGGGTAGTGATACAAGGTTATTATAGTTTTGAATTTTTAAGTTTGTTTTATTTGAATATCGTTTTCAAATTTGCTATAAAATTCAGTTTAGTTATTATTAGTTTCATTCATATTTTTGTTAGTTTTAGTTTAGTTTTTATTTTGTGAAATATTTTAGTTTTTATATAGTTTAGTTTCAGTTTTAATTAAAGTTTAGCAGAATTAACAGATCACTTCCAGAGTGCAGGCCAAAGAAAGACGTAGGCATAATTTAACCTTAGTGAGGCAAACATATAGCGACACAAAATTAACGCATGCTGAGATTGATTAGATACAAATATACGACAAAGAATGCAGGCAAGCCTTTTTTACTAAATTAATCTACACAAGTCGCGCTTAATGTCATATCCAATGATGTGTGTTGAGATATTTAGTATGAAAATAAATGTAGCCTGATTTGGTTATATGCCTTTTCTTATTTAACCATAATCATGATATTGTAACTGTGGTGGCTTGCTCACTTTTCCGTTAACAGCCGTGCATCAATCAAAACTGGGACTAATGAAATTCAATAATAAAGGCAATCGCATTTAACAGTAAAGGCTTATATTTGAATGTTCTTTTCATTTATGAAGAATTATAAGCGTGGGTATGATGTGATTTAGCCAATGCACATTTGTTCAAAAGCCAGATTTACATTAGTACTGCTGTCAGATAATAGTTAAGTACTGCCGGTGCACGTTTACCAAACCCGGGCAGGCTTTAAACTGCTTTGTGTCTCTCCGTCAGATAACCCCATGTGCGTGATGCGCCATTACAGGTAGGCTATTTCCCTAATCCTCCACAGCTCGTATATTTTTCCGCCAAGGGGAGAGAACGTAATGATTACGAAAATGATTATTTATTTTTGCTAATTATTATTTTATTTGTTAGTTTTTCAATAACTGTTGTTAGTTTAGTTTTTCAATTATTTTGACTTTTTATTTTATTTCAGTTTACGAAATAGTTTTTTCATCAATTGTTTTAGTCTTAGTTTTCGTTTACGAAAATAACCTTGGTGAGAGAGATTTAAATTTGTCTGGCAGTTTTGACTAATTTAAGACTGCTCCCTGAATTTAATGAACATCTTTATTTGAGGCCATAGCTGAAGGAGGGAATTGGCCAAATGCTGTTCTAACTGTTATGCTTCAAACTGTGATTACAGGTAAGGCACAGGAGGCATATCGTAATGGTTAGAGAGTCGGACTCGTAACCCAAATGTTGTGGGTTCGAGTCTCGTGCCGGCAGGGATTGTAGGTGGGGGGAGTGAATGTACAGCGCTCTCTCCCACCTTCAATACCACGACTGAGGTGCCCTTGAGCAAGGCACCGAACCCCCAACTGCTCCCCGGGCGCCGCAGCATAAATGGCTGCCCACTGCTCCGGGTGTGTGCGCACTGCTGTGTGTGTGCGCACTTTGGATGGGTTAAATGCAGAGCACTAATTCCAAGTATGGGTCACCATACTTGGCCACATGTCACTTCACTTTATATGCAGCTCTTACAATGGAGGACAGAAGAGACTATCTTAAAGTGAAAACGGCGATCCTAAAAGCCTACGAGTTAGTTCCTGAGGCGTACCGCCAGCGATTTAGGAGCGGGAGGAAAGGTGATCGTCAAACACATTCTGAGGTGGTAAGGTAACTTGTTTCGCACTTTGACCGCTGGTGTATTGCTTCTGATGTGGATCATTTTGAGAAGTTACGTGACTTGATAATTCTAGAACAGTTTAAGAGCATAGTGCCAGAGCATATTGCTACATATATAAATGAGAGGAAGCCAAAGGATACGACTGAAGCTGCTGTCTTGGCAGATGACTATGTTGACACATAAAAAAAAAAAATGTACAGAGAAGATAAGTCAAACCATAATTATGGTAACTTCGGTGAATGTAAGGGTGTATCAAAGAAATTTTAACAACCCTATTTTTCAAAATTTGACAAAAGTTATCGTGGGAAAACTGACCGAGATTTAGTGTGCAATTACTGTTTTAACATGGGACATTGAAAAAATAAATGTCCAGTTTTGGCTGCAAAATTGAAGTCTAATCAAAAGACCAAGTTAAATGCCAATCATGCTACTCCGGCATTAGTGACCGAGACTACAAGTACTTCTAATGAATTGGAATGTGGTACCTTTAGGGAAATGGAAAATATAATGCGTGAGTCAAAAGTTGCAGCTACAAAACACTTTGCTCCTTTTCTTACTCAGGGTTTTGTTTCTTTGATTAATTCTGAGGATAAAGTCCCAGTTAAAATCTTGAGGGATACAGGGGCTTCGGAATCGTTTATTCTTGAATCTGTCCTGCCATTGTCTGATGAAACAAGTGAAGGGAGGAATGTTTTGATCAGAGGGATTGGATTACAAACTCTTTTTGTTCCTTTGCACAGAGTGAAGCTGACCTCTGAGTTGGTTTGTGGAGAAGTAACTCTGGGAGTAAATAAAACTTACGATCGAATTTTGGGCCAATTATATTGGCCTTGTTTGAAGAAGGACATTTCTGTCTTTATTAAACTTTGCCATTTATGCCAGTTAACCTAATCAGCCTTTGAAACCAGTGCTGCTTTGTCCTATAACAGTCACAAGTAAGCCCTTTGAGCATTTAATAACTGATTGTGTGGGTCCATTACCAACGTCTAAATCAGGTGATGTGTACATGTTAACAGTTATGTGTCAAGTTACTCGGTATCCAGCCACTTATCATATTAGAAAGATTACTACTGGGATACCTAAAACTATTCAGAGTGACAAAGGGACTAATTTCACTTCACGCATGTTTGCGGATATTTTGAGGGTGCTTAAAGTAAAACAGGTAACAAATTTAGCCGGTTCAGCTCAAAGATACTCTAAGAATTTAAGGGTGTAAAAATTTTAGGTTTAGCACCTAATGCAAGTAGAAACAATATATAGAATACACAAATATTGGGTAAAATAATAAATTTTACATATAAAAAAAACTGTTCAAAAGTTAGATTGTTTTTTGTTTTTTGTTTAAAAAAAATAAAAAAATCTGCAAGGACGCATTAAATTAATCAGAAATGACAGTAAAGAAATGTGCAATGCTACAAAAGATATTTCAAATACATTTCAATTTATTCATTAATTTCCAAATATCTTTACATTTTTTAAGCGTTCTTGAGCACCAAATCAGAATATTAGTATGATTATTAAAATAATAAACAGTTCTTTTAAGTTGTAATATTTCACAGTATTACTGTTTTAGTGCATATTTGAACAAATAAATGCTGTCTTCGCAAACATAAGACACTTCTTTCAAAATATATTTAAAAAAAAACTCTTACTTTTGTACGGTTGTGTATGTTTTTATTTTAGATATTTTTAATCACTACATTTCAGTACTAAATAAAAAAATTCATAATTACGAATTACGATTTCTCTCAATTCCTCCATTTTTCAAAAATGCATTCTGCATAAACTTAAAACTGCTTGAAGCTGTTAAACACTATTACACAACCAATTTTTTTTCAATGTAACAAACTAAATCAGCCTTCACCAAAAAAAAATGCAACTGCTGTCACATTCAGTGTGAAGCATTTAGTCCAGATTATCAACCTGTTTAAGGCTCTAATTAATCATGAATTTAGCTAACTTTTGATTCTGCAGACAACATCTCCAAGACCTACATGCAAAGCAGGATTGATCGGCTCATTTGATTGGAAAAACATGTCCGTTCAAAGACACCTTGCAGGAAGTCAAAAATTCTAAGTTCTCTGACACGGTAGAGCACATCCTACAGACACTAATCGGAATCCTCTTGTGTCTACAATTAATAATAATCAAACCTCCCAGGACACTGAGATTCTTTCTGAGTTCTAGTCATCAGGGCTCGACTCGACTAACGGCCGGTATTAGATATTCTCTCTGTATGTAGTGAGATTTCCTTGTGGGAACATCTGGAGTGGCATCATTAATGAAAAAGATAGCTCATTACTTGATTTTGGGATTCTGTCCTTCATAGTCTTCTCACCTGTTCTGGACGTCTCGCATCCTAACCGGGTCATTGTGGCTAATTAGACCATGAAGTGGAAAAATTAAGGGCCATAAAAGTGGTAATTAAAATGGAAATGAATAAGTAAAAAAGCTGAAAAGCCAGCTCATATGTAATCAGATTTTTGGGCTGGTTAGTGCTTAACTTGCTGCCCATTTCTAAAATGATTTGTTGTTTTGTCGTAACATTCAGTAAAGATAAATAATTAGGTTTTTATGGGGGTTTTTTTGCACAGACAAGCAGCAAAAT